CCCCCAGCATCCCCCCAGCAACCCCTCAGCAACTCCCCTCCCCCGTAAGCATCCCCCCCACCCCCAGCAGAGTGGCGGAGCCAGGAGCCGTGGCGCATCTACACACCTGGAACTCTGGCCCAGTCTTGCAACCAGAACTGAACTTGGAACCGCACTTTGTGCTTTGGCTATTAGGACTCGGTTCGCTGGAATTAAGAAAAAAACGCCTCTTCTCAACCCTTTTCTTGGAGAATTTAAACAAAAAAAGATGTCTGTTTTTCCCAAGATATCTTTGAGACCTGAGGTTGAAAACTACCTTAAAGAGAGCTTTGTGAATAAGGAGGTAGGTCACATAAATATATTAGATATTTGCAGTAATTCAAATACCACTTTGGGGAAGTAGAAATAAATCTAAAGAGAAGTCTTACAGCCATAGGTTTTGTCACTGATCTATCTGAATATTTAAAAAACTAGGCTCTGCTACCTACTAGAGGAGAGATGAATGTATGTGTTCACGTTAGATGTAAGAAAGAACGAAAACAAGCTGGGCGTGGTGGCGCACGCCTTTAGTCCCAGCACTTGGGGGGCAGAGGCAGGCGGATTTCTGTGAGTTCGAGGCCAGCCTGTCTACATAGTGAATCCAGGCCAGCTGCAGCTACAGAGAGACTCTGTCTCAAAAAGACCAACAACAACAAAAAAAAAAAAAAAAGAAGAAGAAGGAAATAAAGGTTATGTGCCAGCTTGTACACACAGTTCTTAAGGGGTAGCAAGATCAGAAGGAAAAGGCCCCTGGCCTCTACACTCAAGTCCCATGTAGAAGATGGTCAAAGATGGTCAGGCTGGTGCTCAGGTGGAAAGGGCGCCATGTTTTGAGTGCTTCTTTAAATGTCAGCTGTCCGATTGTACACTTTTACACTTTTATCTTCAAGGTGTTTTGTTTTTTTGGGGGGGCGGGGGTAGAGTGTGATCTGTTCTTAATTTAAGACCCGAGATAACAGAGAATCCAAGAAATTCTATTGATCCAAACTGAGGTAGTTATCAAACACCTAAAGTCTTCAGGTAAAGAGTTTGGGTGTAAGGAAAGAGACAGTCAGATTTAGAATCTCAAGCTTTTTGTGTGTGCTAGTGTTTTTAAAATTGATGTGCATAGATTAAACTTGAGTTCCTCTGTGAAAATCGAGCAGGATTCAGAATATTTTCAGGGTTGTCCTGGAATGTCAAACAAGTGAAATCAGTTGGCATCATTTTGACACATACAAAAAAATGTTATTATTAATCACTGGCGCTACGGAGTGCAGAAGTTCCCAGTGACTGTTGATTGGCTTTCCATGGAAAGCTCATGCATGCTGTCTGTTCACCTGATGCCACCTCTAAGAAATTTTTATTTTTCTAAAAAAATTAAGGTCACTTCAATCCTATTTATTTCTGATTTTTTTTTTACATTTTCAAAAATATATTTTATTCATTATTTTTATAATATGTGTCTAAGTGTATAGCCTGCATGTAGGTAGTTACACCCTTATTGTGCAATGCCGGTGGAGGCCAGAAGAGGGCATCTAGTCCCATGGAATTGGAGTCATGGACAGTTGTTAGCTACCATGTGGGGGCTGGGAATTGAACCTGGGTCCTCTGTAAGAGGAGCCAGTGCTCTTAACAGCTGAGCTATCTCTCTAGCCCCTTCAATATGTTTTTGAAGCCAGGATTTTAATATTTGATTTCTACAACTTATTTCCAAAGATTATGTTATGGGGTTAAATCATTTAGAAAGAAAAAATATTTTATTTCAAAGTGGGTATATATATATATATATATATAGAGAGAGAGAGAGAGAGAGAGAGAGAGAGAGAGAGAGGTCCGGCATGCTGCATGCCCTTCATCCTAGCATTTGGGAAGCAGAAGGAGGCAGATCTGTGAGATCAAGGCCAGCCTGGTCTACATAGTGAGTTGTAGGCCAGCTGGGGCCACGGTTAGATCTGGAAAGAGACAGAGGCATTCAGCAATTATTCCCAACAGTTTTTAAAGGATGAACATTGTTTTACAAAATAGTCAAATATCTTTCTTTGACTTCACCACTTTTTAAAACCCACCAAGTATATGATTTGCAAAAAGAAAATCAACCCTTTGTAAAAAGCTTGGAAAGGAAAAGAATAATTAGTACAAACAAATTAAACCTTGAGAAACCTTAAATATGTTAAGCCTGGTGGAATCAGTAGGTAGACCGTGGTTTACAAAGGTTATGTGAGGCAGAAGAAGCCTGATGTGGTTTGGCTGCCTATAATCCCAGTACTAGGAAGGCTTAGGCCAGAGGACTGCTGGAAGGTCCAGGCCAGCATGGCTACATAGTGAATTCTAGGTTATGGCTAGCCTAGGCTACACAGTGAGACCTTGTCTGAAAAAAAAAAAAATTCTTTGAGGGGCTGGATAATGGCTCAGCAGTTAAGAGAACTTGATGCTCTTACAGAGGACCGTTTCAGTTCCCAGCACCCATATGGTAACTCACAACATGGTCGTTCCAGGGGATCCAGTGCCCTTTTCTGACCTCCTTGGGTATTAGGCACATACCTGGTGCACACAAAAAATAAAAATCTTTAAAAAGAATCCTTTGAAGCAAAGTGTGGTCATGAGGGGACATATTGGCCTTGAAAAGCCCTACAAGGGAACTTGGTACTTGGTCTTTATTCCTTCATTTTTAAAACAAGATTTATTTTATGTGTATGAATGTTATGTCTGCATTGATATAATTGTGCCAGATGTATGCAGTGCCTGTGGAGGGCAGAAAAGGGTGTTGGGGTTTTGATACATTTGTTTGCTATTTTTCCTGTCTTTTTTTTTTTTTTTTGTCTTTTTGAGACAGGGTCTCCCTGTAGTCCCAGCTGACCTGAACTCACTATGTTGACCAGGATGGCCTTGAACTCCCGGGTGCTGCGATTAAAGGCGTGCGCCACCACGCCTGGCTTCCTGTCTTTTTTTGAGAAATATATACTATTACACTTGATAATTATTAAAAAGGTGATGTCCTGGGGCATCTTTGCAGTGATCATATCAATGTTATTTATCTCCATATATTGGTATTTTAAAAGGCTTCTCACCAGTTTGTCTGAAGATATGTTAATAAGTAAATATAGAAGTCTGTAATATCTACAATCCTTAATTATGCTGGGTATTATTTTTAATTGTTAATGATTTGAAGTTCAGGCAATGATGTTTTTCTGACCTCTTTATACCAGGTATTTTCCTAGTTGCCTGTCACTATAATTAAACTAAAAACCCCGTGAAGCTTTACTGTATCCTTAGTGTTGCTAACACAAGCAGATCACCAAAATGAAATGGAACCAAAACATTGCTAAAAGATGTCTCATTCAATGGAAGAAATCTATAAGCATAAATCTATAAGCAGATTTATTTACTTTTTTACTTTGGATGGTGAAATTAGAGCATTGACTGGTTCATTCCACTCTAGGTTGTATCTGCTTCAAGAAAACAAGAAGCAGAAAGGAAGTTTGAAACTCTGTTAACTAATTTGTCCCACCCGCCATCATTCACAACTGTCAGAGTGAACACTCATTTGGCCTCAGTCGAGCGTGTGAAAAGCCTGCTGCATGTGGAACTTCAGAAGGTTTGTGTGATTCTGGTATGTTCCGTGCAGTTAGGCTTCTAGAGGCTGGCACGTATGCTCCAGTAAGAGTCTGTGAAGGACAGAATATTTCATTTTCACAAATAAGGAAACTGTGGGTCATGAACATTAAGTTGTTCAAGGCCATAGTAAGTGATAATGTTGAAACTTGAGGCCCGAAATTCTGATTCTAAATTTATTAATATTTAGGATAAATGTCTAAGCCCTATGAGCTTCATCATAAAATACGTGTGAGCGGATTCATTCATTCTGATCATAAAACTGTGGATATAATGTTTAGAATTTTTTAGTAAGTTGTCTTTATTAGTATTGATTGATGTAGCCCCTTTTCTTTTGTGTGTGTGAGTGTACTTGTGTGTATATGCATGCATGTTTTTGTATGTGGGGGTAGATGTACATGCCCGTGTGTGCACTTGTCCGTGGAGCCCAGAGTTCAACCTAGAGTGCCATTGCTTAGGTGCCATTTACCTTATCCACCTGGCTTTTTGAGACAGGGTCTCCCACCAGCCTGAAGTGCACCACCTCCCCAGTTTTGGGATTATGAGTGCGTGCCACTGTACCTGGCTTTGTTTTTTTCTAGCATAGGTTCTGAGCTTGAGCTCAGGTCCTTTTGAACCAACTGAAACATCTCCCCTCCGCGTTCCTTTCTTTTCCTCTCCTTTGTATCTTTTCACACTCCTTCTAGGGAGTGCTTGCCACACCCTGCTCTTTTTTCAAGTTGCAGTAGATCACCAGGTTACCAGAAGAACCAGATAGGGAGCTGGTGGGAGCTGTCCCAACAGTGTATACCTCTAGCCCTGCATGTATTTCCAGTCTGACCAGCCAAGGATAGAAGAGGTTATTGAAAATTCTGAACCCTAATAAACCCATTTTTTTCTTTAGTCAAAATTAGCATGTGTTTTCCAATGTAAATAAGGCAAACAATGGAGAAGTCAGAGTCGGACACGGTGTCTGCTGTGTATAATCTCAGCTACTACAGAATTGGAGACAGGAGAATTGCAAGTTTGAGATCAGCTTGGGTAATTTGGCAGATTCTGCTTCAAAATAAAAAATAAGACTGACTGGGAGTAGAGCTTAGTGGTTGAGTGCTTGCCTAGCTTGCCTGAGGCCCTGGGTTCAGCTCCCAGCACCTCTCCCAAAAGTCAGGATATCATTAAATTAGACAGGAAATTTTTTGAGATCTGTTTATCTCATTTAAAAAATTTTAAAAACAGGATCTCACTATGTAGACCAGGCTGGCCTTGAACTCACAGAGACCTGCCTGTCTCTACCTCCCATGTGTTGGGATTAAAGGTATGGCACCACGCCCAGGGATAAGTTTATTTTATAGTATTCCATGGAGTAAGGCCTAAATCCAGGTGCCTGCTGTGGTAGATAGTGACACTGACAAGCCCCATGAAGTTGATAAAATACATTGATTACTTTATAATTTTATGTGTTTTTTTTCTTGAACAGCAGTTCAATGGATTAAGTGTTCCCATTCTTCAACATCCGGACCTTCCAGATGTCTTACTTATTCCTGTGATTGGACCTAGGTTTGTGACTGTTTCATTTTCCCATTATTATTCAATAAAACTTGCCCCAAGATCTTTCTTGACAGTACTGTGGCATTCCTAGCAACTTTACATACACAAGAGTCTCATATTGGTCATCATAGTACTTCCTGTGACAGCTTGAAACACATTCGTGCTTCATGATCTGTCACAGGAAGCAGTGTGCTGGAGGACCAGGAATGGGCTAAGTACCTTGAGAATAGCGTATTTTATTTTTAAAAAATATTTTATTTATTATTTTCATTTTATGGGCATGAGTATATTGCCTGTGTGTATGTAAGTGCTCCAGTGTTGTGCAATGCCCACGGTGGTCAAAAGAGGGCATCAGATCCCCTAGAACTGAAGTTACGGACAGTTGTTAGCTACCATGTGAGTGTTGAGAATCAAACCTGGGTCCTCTGCTAGAACAGCCAGTTCTCTTAACCACTGAGCCATCTCCTCAGCCCCCGAGAGTAACAACTTTTAGATCTTGTTACTGTAGTGATTGGTTTTCTTTTCATTTTTTTGAGATGTTTCCTTTTATTTACTTGTATTTCTTATGATAGTCCAGCAGGAAAAGTTCCTTTGAGCTACAACAAAAACATAAAGTATCATATTTCCTATCTTCATAACTGAAATGTTTGTAAAAGTTTCTACTTAATGATTAGGTTAAGTTACTGTGTACTAGATATGGCTCACCTCACATGTATTTAGAAGACATATTTGAAAATTGAAAAAAAAGGCTTCCATGTTATAATGGGAGTTCTTTTCCCAAGGAGCACAGTAAAGTACCAAGTTATGCTGTAAAGTAATTAAACGAGTTATAAATATAAAAATGCTTATGTTACTAAAGTTTTAAAGTAAGTTAATAGTAGCAAAGCAATAGTTTCATAAATTATAGTTTAGCCATGCTATGAAACATTACATGGTTTTTATGATGGGAGGATGTTTTTGAAGTACTTTTTTTTTGGTCTTTTTGAGACAGGGTCTTCCTATAGCCCCAGCTAACCTGGACCAGGCTGGCCTTGAACTCAAGAAATCTGTCTGACTCTGCCTCCCGAGTGCCGGCATTAAAGGCGTGTGCTACCACTCCCAGCTATTTTTATTTTTTTGCATGTATGAGTGTTTTGCCTGCATGTAAGTGCACCACATGCGTGCAGTACCCACAGAGGCCAGAAGAGGGTGTCAGAGCCACCAGACCTGGGGTTACACATGGTTGTTAGCCACCTTGTGGGTGTTGGGAATCACACCCGCGTCCCCTGGGAGAAAAGCAACTGTTCTTAACTGCTGAGCTATCTCTCCAGCCCCATACTGGGAGAATTTTATGTAGCAATATGAAATGTTTACGATCTATTAAATATCAAATACAAACTTCCACACAGGATATTTACAATATTTGCAATTGAAAAACATAAGACCACACATTTTTGTGTATTTACATGTAGAAAAGTGTCTGGAAGCTGTAACATACTTGATAGTTAACAGTGATTCACACTAATGATGCTAGACTGGGAGAAAGGGGTAAGTAAAAGCAGATCTTTCACTTGTAATATCTTTGTTTTATTTTTCACTGTAAGCATGTATTATTTTTACAATTAAAATTTGATTTTATAGGCTACCCAATTGAATATATACTCAAAATAGAGCCATGTTCAATGTATAGTTTGTTAAATGTTGCCACATATATGCAACTGTTTACCCAAGGCCCAGTCCGCCATCATGTACAGCACTTCCATCTGCCCAGAAAAACTTCCTGTACTCTTGTACCAGGCAGTTTTGAAGGAGTTACTAAAGAAGATCACAAACACAGGTCATTTGAGTTATGTTTTGTTATGTGGATGCAAAATTACAATTGATTAGGTTCACATTTGGGCTGTTTGTCATTCTGTAACAATATCTTTAATGTTTAAGTTTCTGTTTTAGTTTTATTTTCTCTCCACATACACGATGAGGTATGTAGGCTTGTAGGCTGTGTAGTCCAGCCTCCCTTCCAGCTCTTAATCCTCCTCCCTCAGCCTCTCTAGTGCTGAGATTATAGGCATGCACCAGGTAAATACCTGGCTTTAGTTCTTTTGGATTTTGTTTTTGTTGTTGTTAATGAATAGAATTTAATTAGGTTTTCTTTACTCTATGGAAAGAAAAGACAATTTTATGTATTGTCTAAATTAGTGTTGTCATGAATATGTGTGGACTTGTGTAAGCATGTCTGTGGCCTTAATTCATGTGACATGAACTGTTCAAAGATTGTGCTTGCTCTGGTCATGGACCCTATTTCACAGTGGCCCTTTGTCAGTAATACACTGCAAAATTATTTCTTTTTCCTGGTTTGTTTTCCTTTTTTCTCAAATAGTAATTAAAAGGACTTGCTAGGTACAGGATTGTGGTGGGGCCTCAGTAATTGGGTACAGTAATGCGTGGTATGTTGTAGGCATTCATTAAGAATTAGCAATTTGTGGGGCTGGAGAAATGGCTCAGCAGTTAAGAGCACTGGCTGCTCTTGCAGAGGACCTGGGTTTGAATCCCACCACCCACATGGCAATTAACAACTGTCTGTAACTCCAGTTGCAGGGAATCTGACGTCCTCTTCTGTCCTCCGCGGGTGTTGCACGACACGGGTGCACTTACATGATGCAGGCATAATACACATACACACACAAAAAAAAGAATTAGTAATTCTTATGTACTTCTAACTAAATTTATATTTCATAAAGTTTGCTATCATTTGTTTCCTAAAGTTAAATAATTCACTTTTCTTTTTTGTGCTTTTTCATTGTTCTTTCCCTCTTTATTGAAGTCCTTTTTTTTTTTCTTAGTGTCTTTGAAAATAGAGAGACATATTTGAAGTATTTTCCTTTTTTGTACCCTTCCTTATCTGCCTTTTGCTCATTAAGATTTTCCTTTCGGTACTACGGACGTGGTTCCATGTTGCAGGAATTCTTTCTAAAGATATTTTTAAAAAGATATTTTGTTTGTTACTTTTATGTATATGAGTGTATTGCCTGCATGTATTCAAGTACACTGGTGTTGTGCAATGCCTGCAGAGGTCAGAAGAGGGCGTTGGATTCCCCAGGAACTGGAGTTATAGATGGTTGTTAGCCGCCATGTAAGTGCTGAGAATCAAACCTAGGTCCTCTGTAAGAATAACCAATGCTCTTAACCACTGAACCATCTCTCCAGCCCCTAAAACAATTCTTTTGCATGTATATATGTACATGTATCTGTATACAGGCATCTCTATATGTTTGTAGGCGCACATGTGGAAGTCAGAGGATAACTTGTTGGAGTTGGTTATTTCTTTGCACCATATGAGTTCTGGAGACTGAGTCCCTTTACTCACTGAGCCATCTCTCTGCTCTTTTTAACTTTCTGATTAACACTATAGAAAGATCTCATTTCACAAGAGCTTTTGAGTTTGTGCAATATATAAGATGCCTGAGTGTTACAAAGATGAATGGGGTGTAGTTGTACAGTCTAAAGTCAGGTAGCCTTAGGACAAGTCAGATAGATTCGCAAGAACGCAAGCATAGCTAAAATGCCATTAGAGCATAGAATAGGATTGTCTGATAACTACTTGGTAACGACTTTGTTTCCGTTGCACTTAAAGATGAGTAGAAGTTGGGCTGACGAGACAAGGTGGCAAACATGCGCGATTTAGAAGTCGGCGAGAGCAGACTTACAACAGCATGAAAATCTGGTGGTTCTTGATGAAACTGATCAAATTTGGCTACTCAGTTGATTTTCAGAAGGGTGGGTGAAAGATGCGGCTGAAGAAGGTGGGATAGGCAGGTTCTGAAATAGAGGATCGTTTTGCTTTTCACTGAGACAATAGGAGCCCAAAAGTTGGCGTTGGAGTAACAGTTAGAGCTGTGGTCGAGAGATGTGGTACTCACAGGAGTTACTTAGTAGTACACCGTGAAACGCATTCAGCAGTTTTATTAGGAGCATTTTAAAAATAAGCAGGATGTTTTGTCATATTACAATTTATACAGCAAAGGCATTCATGAAATGTTTGCTGTGAATGTTATGTTTATTTCCATATATTTGGTATTCATTCAGCTTCTTAGATCAGGTTACAGTTGAAATGTCAAGAAATCCCTTTTTCAAGACATGAATTGCAAAGCTGTAGGCAAGTTAGGAAGCTGATTCAATCTTTTAGTTCAAATAATATATAAAAAACTTGATAATCGGAAATGCTTCTGTTGCCACGCACCCAGGAATGCTAAACAGAAAGCAAAGTTCCCAGTACAGAGCAAAGCCACGTGTGAGTGCAAGTGATGGTGAAGGACTTGGGAGTAAGAAGAGCCCAAACCAGCAAGAAGAGTGAGCTGACACGGGGAGCTGGGGCTCAAAAAGGAGGTCATTGCTGACCTTCAAAACCTAGGGTTTGGTAAAACACCAGAAGTGAGATGTACCTAGTAGTAAGTATAAGACGGTCATTATCTTATCTCTCTCATCATAGATTTGGGGAAAGAGCCTTGTGAGAATGCAGAACTGTAGTTCCATATAAAGCCTTGAATTTATATTCTTCCTACCCAAGTTGTCTTAGAACCTACAATCTGGAAAACTGACACAAAAAATTTGGTCTTTAGTCAATTCTTGAAAGGTTGGCACGAGCCAAGCAAAGCCATCTGGAGCTGTGTACCTTGAGTCCAAGCCACACACTTTTCTCATCACTGCAGACTATCTTAGGATCAACCCACCATGGACAGTAAACCGAAGAGGGAATTTCTCCCTACACTTTAACGACTAGAGCTATCTAGTAGAGACATAATTGTTTTCTTAAAGTGATTGAACATAAATGACCTAAGAGGAAAAAGACTTTACAGTGACCTTATAAAATGAAATGTCAGTGAAATTAAAAATTGCTGCACAAGTTAAATTTAGACCCAGCCTTTAAGTTACTGAATTAGGTGGTGCCTGAGGAGATACCAGAATGCAGCAGGCTGTGAACTCTGATGTGAAAGTGAAATTGAATACTGAAGGACCAGGCAGTTTGAGTCCCAGGTGTAAAGAATAGAAATAATGGGCCAAAGGCAGTGGGAAGAAAATGTAAGGATGAGGAATTTTCCAGAATCAATGAAAGACCACTTTAGGAATAGAAGCCTGAAGTCTCAGATGAGAATGTGAATACGTCTGTGTGTAGATACGATGGAACTACAACAACGCTGTAAAATAAAGATGTGAAGCAAAGGCAAAGACAGGTGCCTGTGTCAGTGGTTAAGGAGGTCACATGACGGCTGACAGGATGGGCTCAGGAGGCCTATCAGATTGAGGCAGCATGATGCTGGGGAACGCCGCGAATATCAGGCCTATGAAAAAGGGGGTTTAGGGTCTGTGCTGTGTCTGATAGTTAGTGAAGAACAGAAGTTTATTCCCCATAGTTCTAGAGATGAAGGTTCAGACGATTGACTTTCCTGCCACAGCCTCACAAGATGAAGGGTATAAGAACAAGAGAGAGGGAGCCATTTCTGTGAGTCCCCTTATAGCAGTGTTAGTCCACTTACGAGGGCAGAGGTCCCATACCCCCCCAGTACTGCTGTATGGAACATTAAAATTGATAACATGTGACTTTAGAGAGAAACATGTAGACCGTAGCTCTGAGACTTCTAGTTTGGTTATCTGGGTATCTTATTCAAGACTGTGAACATGATGAAAAGTCCTGGTTTCATACCTAGGATTTAAGGCATGTGTGAGTGAAAAAAATATTCCTTAGGACTTGTTCAGTTTGGAGTAACTGTGGGACATCTCTTTACAGTTAAATCTACATGATTAAAAACATCAATTTAGAACTTTGAAAGGCTGAATGCTATTTTTTTTGTCTCTTTGGTTTTGGTGATGGGTCTCACTGTGTTTTTCAGGCTGGTCTCTAACCCATGGTTAGGCTGGTCTCTAACTCATGGTCAGGCTGGGCTGTAACCCATGGGCCCAAGTTGTCTTCCTAATTCAGCTTCCTGGGTGACTAGAACTACAAGCTTGTACACCATGCCTCATTCTGTGATTAATTTTGAAATCCTAAGATTGCCAAGGTGACTGTCAGGTGAATGATGGACAACGGTGTGCTTTAGAAGGTGGAGAGATGAGCCTCTTTAAGAAGTAGTGACAATGCATGGGACCAGGAAAGTGTGACATTGACCTGTGTAGTGAGACTCAATTATCACATCATGGAGGGATGATGGAAAACAGTTCACTGGGCAGTGAGTGGCGGCCACGCATGGGAAAGGAGCCAGACAGGAGAGCTTAGTGAACGTTTAGTGCTCAACAGTACTACTCAGAGCTGATCAAACTGGCACCTCTTATCTTTGAAAAGAGTTCCTGAGTATCAGAATGAAGCCTAGATCTTGTGGCCTAAGGAATGAGTGATGTGGGTGTGAGAAGTGGGTGGAGACCCAAAAGGTTGGGCAAGCATGTGAAGGGCAGCACATGGTAGCTGTCTTTGTCTGTTAATTCATAACATTCACAGTGGACCGTTTAACAACTTGCCACTGTAGAAATGTTGTAAACTCCTTTTGTAGTTTCATGTTTTAGTTTTAGAAGGCAGCAAAACCTGTTTTCCTCCTAATGTTGCTATGGAAACAGGATTGCTTTCTAAATGATTGCATACTTCTGCTACTCCCTTCCTTCCACCAGATGGACTTCTCTTTCAATATCTTTTACATTTGTTTAATTAATTAATTTTATTTATGTGTATGTGTGAGTGTATGTGCCCAAGTGTGGAGGTCAGGGGACAACGTTCGGGAATCAGTTCCTTCTGCCATTGGGCCACATGGATAGAATTCAGGTCATCAGGTTTAATGAGTGCCCCCTCCTCAGCCATCTCACAGGCCCGTTTCTTTTCTTTTCCCAAGTTCCCATTCTGTCTTTCCACGTGTTTTATAAACTGTCGCTCTGCATATTCTTTTCAGTTTTCTCTTTCTCATTTATTCAGGAAAAATCTGAAGAGGTTATGTGAAGTTTTTAAAGAATATATTCTGATTCTTGCTATTTTTCTTTTTTTTTTTTTTTTAAAAAGCTTGTCCCAGTTTGTTTCTCCATTGCTGTGACAAAACACTCTGACCAATACTTGGGGAGGAAAGGGTTTATTTGTCTTACATCTCCCAGGTCACAGTTCATCAGGGAGCCCAAGGTAGGAACTCAGTGCAGGAACCTGAAGGCAGGAGCTGGAGTACAGGCTGCTTACTGGCTTGCTCCTCTGGCTCCTACTCAGCCTTCTTTCTTACGCAATACAGGCCCACCTGCCCAGGGGTGGCACCACCCACAGTAGGCTGGGCCCTCTCACATCACTCAACAATCAAGAAAGTGCCCCATGGACATGGCCACAGGCCAGTTCAGTGGAGGCAATTCCCTAATGGAGGCTCCCTCAACCCAGGTATGTCAAGTTGACACTAAAGCAATCCAATACAGACCTCTATCAAGTTTTTATTAAAGAAAACCTTTCCAGGTTTACTTTTCCCAGTCTTCTCTGGAGTGCTTCTGACAATATCACCTGAATCAATGACAGCTGATATGCAGACTCTGCCATATTTTCTGCATGCTGTGCACAATTCAATATCGTGGCCACTGTAGTACCAGACACTAGTTTTCCCAACATGGCAGTTTGCCAACATGGGCAGCTGTTGATGAGGGTGACCAATTTGGCCTTGCCCTGTCTGGTCGTCTTCAGAGCCTGCTTGTATCCCAGCACGTACTTTACTCCTTTCATAACAAGCTGGTGCCTGGAGGTGATCTACTCCAGAGACTTTCCATCTTTGTGGCCGCCATCTTCCTGCCTTAGGTGCAGACAGCCCCCAACCAAGATGGCCGGGGAGCGAGAAAGGACTTAAAAAATGATAATAATAACAAGATTACATTGAAAAACTTTGTGTAGATTTGAGAATTTGGAAAGGAAATGCCAAATTCACATTTCAGCAAATGTGATAAATTTCACAGTGTTATTGAAGCTTAGTACTACAGTTTTGTCAGTAAATAATACTAAAAAAATTTTAATAGACATATAGAATTGAAAATTTACGTTCTAAAATACAATTGCATATTTTTAGTCTGAGAATTGTATCAGTTTAGTTATCACAGTACTTTTTTTTTTTAACTTCCCACACTGATTTTTACCTCTAGAAGCTCAATTAGGTGATCTACATGTTGTCAGGCACGGTGAAGGTGCTTTGAGGCTGTAGAAGATAATAGAAAAATGATGGAAAAACCTCATGATGCCTGAGAATGGGAGAGGTCCAGTGTCAAGGCCTGGGTGCCCGGGACCACATGACCACATGTAGAGTCAAGACCACAGCTGACCCTCAGGGGATGGGGCGAGTCCATTCTAGAGAGTCAGGCCTCTCAAGACTAGAATCTGAAAATGGCAGAGACCTCTCCTGTCTCCAGCAGAAAGCCAAAACAGAGGCAAAGCTCTGCCATGCATAACCTGGGACCTTAGGGGAGGGGGCTGTAGGGAGTGCAGCCACTCAGAGAAGGCTGAGACTGCTGCTCAATATCAGGAGGTCTTCCATCCTCCAAGCTGCTCCACCATCAGCCCGCCGCCAGAGGACTGTGGGATATTGACTCACAGTTGGGGACCAGAGTGCCAGGCTCATGGCGGGGGAGGTGGAGGCGGGGAGGTACCACAACTGCAGCTCATGGGAAGGGACCAGAGCTCCAGCTCACAGGAGGGGACCACAGCTCCAGCTCACAGGACGGGACCATAGCTCCAGGTTCACAGGAGGGGACCACGGCTCCAGCTCAGGGGACCACAGCTCCAGCTCACAGGAGGGGACCACAGCTCCAGGTTCATAGGACGGGACCACAGCTCCAGCTCACAGGAGGGGACCATAGCTCTGGTTCCCAGGATAGAACCACAGCTCTATGTGCGAATGAAGTCTGTTGTTATTTTTGTTAAGTAATATATATTTTTTATTATTTTTATGTGTATAAATGTTTTGCCCGCATGTATGTAAGTGCCCCACGTGCATGCAGTGTCTATGCAGAGACCAGAAGAGGGTGTCGGATCTCCTGGTGCTGGAGTTAAGGACAGTTAGCTGCCATGTGGGTGGTGGGAATCAAACCTTGGTCCTTTGGAAGAATAGCAAATGCTCTTAACTGATGAGTCATCTCTCTAGTCCTTAAGTAATGCATTTCATTCTTTGAAAATATCATACATTTATACAGTGTATATTGATCATACACATCCATTGCTACCTCTCTAATGAAATATTAAAAAATATGACGTTGGAGGAATATTACTCTGTTAAAATTTTCTTTTCTTTACATTCCTAGAAGGAATATAAAAAAACAACAGTGTGAAGCCATTGTTGGAGCCCAGTGTGGCAATGCAGTGATAAGAGGTGCCCATGTCTATGTTCCAGGAATTGTGTCAGCTCCAAAATGTAGGTATAAGGCTTACAGCTCTCTGTAATTCATGTGCATGACCAAAGGGAAAATTCATTATATTATCACCAAGGTGTACATTTGAAAAAACCTTTATTAGGTATTTTCTGAGCTTTGTATGTAGTTATCTTAGTTTGTTCTTCACTGCTGTGACAAAATACTCTGACCACTACCAACTTGGGGAGGAAAGGGTTTATTCAGCTTACATCTCCCAGGTCACAGTTCATCAGGGAGCCCAAGGTAGGAACTCAGGGCAGGAGCCTGGAGGCAGGAGCTGGAGTGGAGGAATGCTGCTTACTGGCTTGCTCTCCTGGCCCCTGCTCAGCCTGCTTTCTTATACAACACAGAACCACCTGCCCAGGGGTGGCACCACCCACAGTGGGCTGGGCCCTCCCACATCAATCAACAATCAAGAAGATGCCCCTCAGACATGGCCACAGGCCAGTCCAATAGAGGTAATTCCCCAACTGAGGTTCCCTCAACCCAGGTGTGTCAAGTTGACACTGATGCTATCCAGCACAGTAGTACAGCCATGGAGGATTTTATCCAATAAAAATTAATAAATTAGTGTAATGGTTAGTTTTTAAAAAATTTTTAATAACTACACGATTAGAAGAAGCATTTCATTACAGCTTTAACATATTCAGTAACACACTCCAGAGCAAGAGTACATCTCTTTCACACGTGGCTGTAAGTTTCTAGGTTCACAGTTGAATTAATACAGTTATATAATATTGAACTCAGTATAAGCCCTGTAAGACGTAAAATTGAATGAGTTCTTAACCTTTAAAAAAGATCTCCGTTTCATCTTAGACTGTATTGTTCCTTTCAGAAAGACTCATTGTTACTAACACTGAGATGTTGGCGCTTACATCTCTAATCTGTATGTATCTGATTATTACTAGTCATAATGGTTAGTTTTAAGTGTTGGCTTGGCACAGTGTAGTGTTACCTGGGAAAGGAGTCTCCATGAGGAATTGTCTAGATCAGGTTGGACTGTGAATTGCGGGATTGTCTTGATCACATCCATTGAAGTGGGAAGACCTCTCCACTGTGGGTGGTGCCATTCCCTAGGCAGATGATCCTGGATTGTGAGTGGAGAGAGCAAGATGAGCACTAGCACCCATGCATGTTCATGTGTCCGCTGCTCTGTGCCCTGACTGTGGATGTGACATGACCAGCTGCTTCAGGTTCCTGCTGCCCTGACTCCTCTACAACGGTGGACTGTATCCTGGAACTGTGAGCCAAAACCCCTTTCTGCCTTAAACTGGTTTTGCCAAAGTATTTTATAACAGTGACAGGAAAGAGAACTAAGGCATCCGCGTTGTATTAATCAGAGTTCTCTAGAAGAACAGATATATATATATATATATATAAATGAAGGGGATTTATTAGATTGGCTCACAGGGTAGGGTGTGGATAGTCCAACAGTGGTCAAGTTGGAGGGCAGAGAATCTGCTAGTTGCTCAGTCCATGAGGCTGGATGTCTCAGAAGTTCCAATCTGGCACTGAAAGCCAGGAGGATTCCTGGAGAGCCGCTGGTTTTCAGTCTATGTTGGTTCCAATATGGTGAAGGAGTGCCACAGCAACAAGATAAATTCACCTGCCAGAGTGAAGGCAAGCAGGCAGAAAGCAGGTTTCCTCCTTCTGTGTCCTTTTATCTGGGCTGCCACCAAAAGGTGTCACCCACAGTTAGGGTGGGCCTTCTGCTTCAAATAATCTGATCAAGGAAATCCCTCACAGGAGCACCCAACAGCTTACATTTTAGTTGATCCCAGATCCAGTCAAGTTGACAACCAAGAGCCATCACATACATAAAGCTTTCTGCTACCTTTTTTCTTTTCCTTATTAGACCCTATGTGATATTTGTCTAGGAAACCGTTAAGTGATATAGAGTGTAAAATGGTAGTGAAGACACTAGAGTGATGGCTCAGAGGTGAAGATGTTTGTTGCTCTTGCAGAGGACCAGAGTTCAATTTCCAGCACCCACATCAGGTGGCCCACAACCATCTGTATGTAACTCAGCTCCAGGGGATCTGACGATTTCTTCTGGGTTTTGTGGTACACTCTCCCCCCACCCCCACATACAAAAATTTGAAGTCGTAGTGAAGTTCTGCTTTATACTCTTGACTTCACTGTCTTGAGACCGCCTGCTGCAGACAGGACCTTCGTGAGGGCATCCTGAATCTGGAACTGAACAGTGGGAGGAGACTTTGTGTTCTTCATTGATTCAGTGTTGACGTATCTCTTTAGCTGCTCCAGTGACACCTCACTGGGCTTGAAATCAGGAAACACTGGTTTGGATCTGTTACAAGTGTATTCAGTTGGTGGACCTCACCTATCGTGTGTGTGGTGGCTGCTGGCCTAGGTTGGCCCTGGTTTATTTATATTGGAGTATTAATGCACATTTTTGAGGAACCCTTTTGCAGGCAACTTTTTAAAATATTCTTTATTTTTATTTTATGTGTGTGTTTTCTTCCATGTATATGTATATGAACTATGTGTATGCCTAGAGGTGAAGGAGGCCAGAAGAGGGTGTCATATTCCCTGGAACTGGATATGTAGGTGGTTGTGAGCTACCATGTAGGTGCTGGAAACTGGACCTGATTCCTCTGCAAGAGCATCAAATGCCCTTACTGCTGAGCCATCTCTCCAGCCCCAGTTTTGTAGGCAATTTAGAAATTGAATATTGAGTCATGATACCAAAATTCGTATAAAAAATTTAAGGATTGTTAGATTTGTGATAATTTATATAGGAGGTGCCCATGTCTGTTTAGTTGAAGGTTTCCATAATTAAGTAAGATGTTTTGAGAGTACTGTTTCATTGGTTTTGGTGAAAACAAAAAAAACCAACCTCCAGTTAGATGTTAGGGAATATTATTGAAAATATTTCATTTTTTATTTTACTGTATATGTATGAGTGTATTGCCTGCATGTATATAAGCGCACCACTGTCATGCAATGCCCATGGAAGTGAGAGGAGGACATCAGATCCCCTGGAATTGGAGTTATAGATAGTTGTTAGCTGCCATGTGGGTGTTGGGAACCAAAACTGGGTCCTCTGCAAGAACAGGTGGTGCCCTTAACCACTGAGCCATCTCTCCTGCCCCGTGAGGGATCCTCTTGGGGGTTATACTGAGATAATGAGCCAGTTTGAACTGCTTCGTGTTCACAATTAATGTCTCTACAGATCCCTATTTTAGCTTGAAGATTTTTGCTAGTCTCCCTAAGCAGAGATTAATATAATCTGATTTTCTTCTCTCTCTAGTTATGAAAGCTGGAGATGCTGTTTCTGTATATTCTGATATCAAAGGGAAATGTAAGAAAGGAGCCAAAGAATTTGATGAAATAAAAATATTTCTTGGAAATGGGATTTCTGAAGTAAGCCGCAAAGAAATCTTCAATGGGCTACCTGATCTGAGGTATGTCATGAGTGCTGTGGAGGAAATCACACCCTTTCTGTAATTCAAAAAGATGAAAATAAAAACAATGTAAAAGTATACCACATTGCATTATATAAATGTTTCAGTGATTTCAGCTGGAAAAAGATGAGCCCAGATTTCTTTGATTTTTGGAAAAATCTCTTCGGTCACAAAAGGTAAATAGCAAGTACTACAAATAGTCACACACAGATATTGTCTATAAATTTCCTGGGCCTAAGTGACACATCTACAGTGCAACCTCTACACCTAAGGTTCGTGGAACATAGAACAGGATAAAGAAGACAATAATGAATCTCTCAATTCCATTAATGAAGCTCCCTTATGCAACAGAGGGCCAGGAACACAAAAGGTCACAAATGACCAAAGCATAGAGATTAAGAGTCTTCAGAATGCTGGTTCTTGGACAGGATTCCTATATAAAGTTCATCCACCCAAGGCTCAGGGAACATTGCAGAAGAGCGGGCAGAAAGATTATAAGAGTCAGAGGAGATGCATGATCATATGGAAATAGAGTCCTACAAGCTCCTGGGACCCTGTTCATATGAACCTACAGCAATGGTGTCAGTGTACCCAAGTCGTATGCAAACCCAAGTAGACAAAAACCCAGCATAGAGCTGGGGAAATGGACAGCAGACCCCAATCTTAGCTGAAGAAATTTTGGCAACTGATTACTGCTGGGTGAGGAAGAGCTGATCGTCCTGAAACAAGGGACTCTAAATAGGCTGACCAGACCTATCTAGACTGACTCAGTGGATGGAGTTGCACTGGGGAAAGTCTGGGGACAGTGACTTGACACAATAGGTCTTAACACAAATGACAGAATGTATGAATTCCATTGAGGGGGTGGCTCTGGGAGGGTGCCAGTGGGGAAGAGGGTATAAAGATGATTAAGATTAAAGAAGTCGCTCTGTATGAAATACACAAAAATTCAATAAAAACGTATTTTTTTTTTTTTTTTAAAAAGGTGAATACATTGAAAACTAAAGCAGTGGACTGTAGATGTAGTTTGGTGGTGGGGCACTTTCCTGTTGTGCCCAAGACCCCAAGTTCAGTTCTCAGCACTGTAAAACAGAAATCCCAAGCAAACAAGTGGGCATGTCCAACAATTTAATTTGTCCTTTGAGTTTGAATTGTTTAACCTTGAGTCTAACTAAACTAGCTGTGTAACTTTAAACTGTACCCCCCTCCCCTTTTTTCTGCTAGCCTCTCCTATTCCAGGTGAAAATTCAAAAACAATTCACAGGAGTATTCTAACTTGGTGTTAAATAAGTCTTATAAAGGCAGAATATTTTGTATTTGATGTGCCACTTGGGATGTGTTCCTAGCAATTTATACTGTGTAGTTTATATGGACTAATGTTGCATTTCTTGTTTTTAGAGGTATAGGCATAAGAATGACAGAGCCTGTGTACCTCAGCCCTTCCTTTGACAGTGTACTACCCGGGTACGTATTTCTGCAGGTAAGCTATTCATAAAAGCAAAATATTTACTAACATTGAAATATTTAAGCGCATTATGTAAAATCTAGTTTCTCTCGCCTTTATTATTTTTGTTATCTATGTATATTCTGACCAAGAAAAAGTGTTACGAACGCTCTTTTGTTTTCCTATATTCATTTTAATCAGCGTTTTCAGTCCTCTTTGTCCATTGGTGATTTACCGACATAATAAAACTGTCACTTCTCATCCTAGAATGTTAATTCACAAGTAATATACATATTTGATGTTCATGTAAGTGTTCTGTTTTGAACAGTAAAATTCAAATTGTTTACTGATATCAGATTTTGTCTTACTATTATTAAATGCTGTGATATAATAGGTAAATTTGTTTTGCTTTTTCCAGCTTGTTATTTTCATGTAAATTAATTCATTTTGATGCTAGTATTAGTATACATTAAATGAAAATACTGAAGAGCAGATCCACTGGGGTTTTGGGTTAAGTTCACACTACTGGTGTAATTTGTGGAATGAAGACAAACCAAGTCCAGTGCTATATGTGTTCTTCTCTTCTCAGTATCAAGTCAAAGGTAGTTCACAAATTTACAGATTGTTTCTGGGGCAAATAAATAGAAAATGATTTGTGTTTATTATCATCTAACTGCACGTTAATGATGATGTCAAATATTAGGACCTGTAACCTTCTACCTAATTGGTTATGAATCATTTTAGGTAATTGTGTTTAGTTAGTTTTAGTTTTCTGCTTGCTTACTGTGTAATCCATTTTCAATCATTTGTGATTATTTGACAACATAGCCATTAAGACAGAAAACAGAAAAGCCAAAATTTGATCCAGATCTTTTGCTCAACTGTCTGCCAGTGCTTGAAATGTGGCTCTTGGAGACCTGTATACCAGTCACTGCAGGGCTTATTCAAGGTGCAGGACCTGGGCCTAGTTCAAACTGGCTGAGTGCAGACTTTAAGCAAGTCCCATGTTTCTTAGGCATCCCAAATGCTGGTTTTATAGTTTCCTAGAGCTCTGTGGCCAGTGTTTAATTGGTATAAAAAATTAGCTGAAGTTGGGTGTGGTGGTGCATGCCTTTAATTCCAGCACTTGGGAGGCAGAGGCAGGCAGATTTCTGTGAGTTCAAGGCCGGGTTGGTCTATATAGTGAGTTCCAGGTCAGCTGGGGCTACAGGGAGACCCTGTCTCAAAAAGACCAAAAATCCAGAATAATGAGTAAAAATTATTATTGTTATTTTTTTGTCTTTTTGAGATAGGGTCTCCCTGTAGCCCCAGCAGTCCTGGAACTCACTGTGTAGACCAGGCTGCTTGAACTCACAGAGATCCTCCTGTCTCTACCTCCCAAGTGCTGGGATTAAAGGTGTGCACCACCATGCCTGGCTAGTAAAATATTAAAAAAAAAATTAGTTGAACTTTTTGTATTAAATTTCTTCTTGCAAACTAGTTCAGAACTTCTAGATTCTTACCTGGACTGTATTTGAGTTAGGAAAATCTGAATACTTTTGTTGAATATAGACCAGAACCAGGTGATACTAGTTTCCTTAAGGAGAAAGTTTACTTCGGTTTTTAAAAAAATTTATATATTTATTTATTATCTTGTTGGGGGATGGACATTCACTATTGTGGCCCATGAGTGGAGGTCAGAGGACAACTTGTTGGAGTTGGTTTTCTCCTTCAACTATGTGGGATGTGCCTGAGGATCATACTCAGGTTGTCAGGCTTGATGGCAAGCACTGTTGCCTGCTGATCCATCTCACTGGCCCTCGTTTACCTTAAGAAGAATGAGGAGGGGCCAGTGTTGGAGAAGGCTCAGTGGTTAAGAACACAAACTGATCGTGAAGAGGACCAGAGCTCAGTTCCCAGCACCTACATTGGGCAGCTAACAACCTCCTGTCACTCCAAGTCCAGGGGATCTGAAACCCTCTTCTGGGATCCAAGGGTACCTTCATTCACATGTGCACATACACATACAAAAAATTAAAAATAAAATAAATATTTTAAAAAGATTATTAAAGAAAATGGAATTTGAAAACATTATCACATCATTATTGTTGAATTCTTATGTATGTAATAAATTGTCATAAGTAGAAAAGTTTCACCGTTGTGCATAATGGTGATAGAACATATTTGAAAGGTCTCAAACAAGCTATTAGGATGGCTTTTGAGACAAATGTGAATGTTCAGGTGACTATATCTACTCTTGATTAAAGGAGAGTCACTATAAGTGCAGTGATATGGGGGCCACCATGTCCATCCAAGTGCTTTTTTATTTTTAAAATACTGTCCTTGAAACACTGCTCAAAAACTACAAATCACCCAGTCTCTCAAGGCTGAGGCAGACAGATTGCTCACTTGAGTCTATCCTGTGCTGCATTCCAAGACCTTTCTTAGAATTCAGAAACCAAACAGTCGACGCTTTAGGTGATCGAAATAGACACATACAGCTCCAGTGACAGCTTGAGCAGCCTTTTTGCTCTCAGGTAAGTGCTGGTGCCCATGCCTCACGGCCTCACAAGCTCATGGCTGATGGGAGCCACACCATAGCATGCTCCTTTTGCTTTCAGGGGTTCTTCTGATACAGTACAAGAGATGTGCATGGCCCTCCTAGGTCTCAGCTTACACAAGATCTTGCTGGCTCAGAAACTGTACAGTGCCTTCACCCCAGTCAGCAGGACTCAGGATAAATTAGTGCATATCATATCACCGGTAGAGCGTAAAGTTTAGGTATCTAGGGTCTGTTTTTTTGAGATTTTCCTTATACAAAATATTTTATTAATTATTTCATGTGTATGTGTATGAGTATATTCCCTGCATGTATGTACGTGCACCCCTTTTATGCAGTGCCCATGGAGGTCAGAAGAGGGCATTGGATCCCCTGGAACTGGAGTTAAGGACAGTTGTTGGCCACCATGTGAGTGATGGGAACCAAACCTGGGTCCTCTGCAAGAACAGCCAGTGCTGTGAGCTACTGAGCCACCTCTCCAGCCCCCTGGAGATTCCTTTTTAAAAATAAAGTTATTCAGGAATAATTTTACGATTGCAACCTAGAATTTTTGAATTCCAGATTTGTAAAGCCAGTGAAGAGTGACTGTGACCCTTCACCTAGTTTCCCCAACAACTGTCTTATATTATGGCAGAACATTTGTTAATGCCTGGAAATCAAACTCTGACCACCAGGGAGGCCAGGAGTAGGAAGATTATTTGACCTTTTGCATAAGCTGGGCAACACAGTGAGACCCATGTCTTAAAAATAATACCACTATGGGTTGAAGTGATGGCTCATCAGTTAAGTGGCTGCTCTCACAGAGGACCTGGGTTCAGTTCCCAGCACCCACACAATGGCCAACCACCACCTGTAACTCCAGTTCCAGGGGAATCCAAGACCCGCTTCTGACCTCTGTGGGCATTGCACGACATTGGTCTGTGAGTTCCTTTTGAGGGTAGTGAGGCAATAGGTCTGTGCTTCTGTGCTGGGAACTGGGATTCTGCTTTCCTTTGTTTTGATTTTAGTTTCGTGAAAATACTGTAATTTATACTCACCATGAAAGGAAATGCCAACATTTACTTATTTATTTATTTGTTTGTTTGTTTATTATTTTCAAGACAGTGTCTCACTTTGTAGCCTAGGTTGGCTGAAACTCACTATATGCTCCAGATTGGCTTCAAACTCTAGTTAATCCTCCTGCCGCAGTCTCCCACATGCTGTGATTACAGGCATGTGTTAGTTATTCTAAGATAATCACAAATACTTGTTTTCTGGTTTGCAGTACAGGCAGTGGAACCCAGGGCCTTGTTCCTGCTAGGCAAGTACTTTGCCACTGAGCTAAATCCCAAGCTCATAAATGATTTTTTACTATTATTAGTTGGGCACTGCACTAAGCAAATTTCAAGCAGAATCCCATTTACTTCCACTTAATTCTTTGTAGTGAATTTTCAATCTTATTATTTAAAAAATTTTAAAAATTATATGTGTTTATTTGTATGTGTGTGTGCATGAACGTATGTGCCATGGGTGTGTTTGTGGAGGTCAGAGGACAACTTATGGTAGTCATTTCTGTCCTTTCACAATATGGGTCTTTGGGATTGAACTCCGGTCATCAGACTTAGTGCAAGTGCCTTCACCTGCTGAGCCATCTCTTCAGCCCTAGTTATACTGTTTTAAAATTGATTATTTGCGTGCTTTGTGTGTGTGTGTGTGTGTGTGTGTGTGTGTGTGTGTGTGTCTGCTTGCACATGCATGCATATACACGTTGCCATGTACGTGCACGTGTACCACAATTTGAGTGTGGCAGTCAAGAGGACAACTTCGGGGAGTCGTTCTCTGCACCTTGCTGAGGCAGGCCTCTTGCTCCTGCTGTGCTGCATCCTCTAGGCTGGTTTCTAGGTGATTCTCTTGTCCCCACCCCCATCTCTCCTCAGGAATGCCAGATTGATAGATGTAGCTTTTTTATGAGTTCTGGTGATCAAACCCAGGCCATCAGACTTGCATGGCAAGCACTTTTACCCTCTGAGCCATGTCATTGGGCCTGTTATTTTGTGTTTTGAGGCAGGGTTCTCTTTATGTAGTGCTGGCTGGCCTGTAACGTGCTATGTAGCCTCAGCTGACCTCAGATCTGCAGCCATTCTCCTGCCTTTGCTGGGAGGAGATATATGCTACCATTCTTTGCTGTGAGGAGTTTGATAAAATATAGATTCTGATTCATGTGTCTGAATACATTCTGAGATGATGTAGTTCTAACAAGTTCCCAGGAGATTTGACTGTCCCCCCTGTAAGCATCAAATGAATAGTCAGGAATCAATGGAAATAACTTAGAAAATCTTTTTTCTCTAAGTGTGAAGAGTATCCTTCCATACTTCATGTCTTATTATTATGTTACAGGACGGTTTACATGATGGAACTGATAATTTATGCAAATGTGCATTATGTAAACTTGCTAGATCCTTTAAGTATAAAAGCTGCAGGTAACATGGCTCTTTGAGGTTCTTCCTTCTCGCCTGTCATCTATCACTTGTGGGTGCTAGCAAGTCTGATCCCCTGGGGGCGATGAGTGCTCAGCTGCTTGCTACTGGGAGTAAGCAAGAAGTTGGACCACACTAGGGCTGCTGGGCAGGAAGAGAGCACACTTGCTGTTGCCAGGAAGGCAGGCCACATTCCTCCAACAAATTGAGTCATTTCCTCTTGCAGGAAAGGAAACTAGGGCTGCTGATCCAAGGGTTTTTGTAACGTCTTTCCTCCAACACCCCCCAAATTCATGTACCAATAAGAACATATTCTTCAAGTCTAGAGACCGTTTCCTTTCCCAGTCTCTGCTGGCAGCTCTCCTCATTAAGAAGTGTTGCTTCTGGGGCTGGAGAGATGGCTCAGTGGTTAAGAGCATGGACTGCACTTGCAGAGGACCCAGATTCAGTTCCCAGCACCCACATCACAGCTAACAATCGTATGTAACTCAAGTTCCTGGGGAATCAGGCGCCCTCTTCTGACCTCTGCCAGCATTGCATGACATGAGTGCACTAACACACATGCAGGCAATACACTCACACAAAAACAAAAATAATAAATAAAATATTTTTTAAAAAGAAGTGATGTTTCTGCCCCTTGTCACTGAGGAGCTCTGAGAATAAATTTTGGAGGAGTTACGTTGTTTTGGTGTTTTCCTGTTTCTTATGTTACTACATTGATATTTATGCATCTAGTGGTTTTTTTTTTCTGCTTAGTTTTAAAATATTTTTAACATTTATTTATTTAATGTGTATGTATATGTAAATATACCACAATGTGTGCAGGAACTTGTGGAGATCAGAAGAGGGCATCAGATCCCCTGGAACTGGAGTTACACGTGGTTGTGACCCACCATGTGGGTGCTGGGAACTGACCAAGGTCCTCTGAAAGAGCAGCAGGTACTCTTAACCACTGAGCCATCTCTCTAGCCCTTAATGTATTTCTTTAAATTTATTTTTATTGTATGTGTATGAGTGTTTTACCTGGATGTGTGTAAGTGCATCACATGCATGCAATGTCCACAGAGGCCAGAAGATGGCATCAGACACCCTGGAACTGAAGTTAAGATGATGGGACCCAAACCCAGGTCCCCTGCAAGAGCAGCCAGTTCTGAGCCACCTTTCCAGCCCCTCCCTTTGTTCGTTTCTTTCCTTTCTTCCTTCCACAATGTAGCTGTCATACTAGCCAATTAATGGACCAGCCTCTTTGACTTGAATAACTGTTGGAGGATAAACAAGCAAGGACAGTATGGCATATACTCAAATTTTAGTTAATAATAAGAGAGGGAGGGAAGGATGGGCAAGGATGAAGATTAAGTAAACATTAGATCACTTTGAAAAGAAAAAAATGAGGTGGATAAAGTAGTGAGGAGAGGAAACTTGCAATCCAATTACAGTCTACAAATTCTAGAGATAAAGAAATAGATGCTGGATGTGGTGGCACACACCTTTAATCCCAGCATTCGGGAGGCAGAGGCACGCGGATCTCTGCAAGAGTTCAAGGCCAGCCTGGTCTACATAGTGAATTCCTGGCCAGCTGGAGCTACAGGGAGACCCTGTCTCAAAAAGAAAAGAGAGTCGAAAAGAAAAGAAAGAGAAAGAAATAGACACAGAGAAATAAAAAGAATGCTTATGGGGTGAATGGCTGGCCCAGCTCCACTGAGTGGAAAGGTGACGTTTTTAAAGTTTGGCGTTGTGCTGGGTGCTTTGCCTGTGTTTCCTCTAGCTGCGCTAGTTTATAACTTAAGAAAACTGATACATTTCCTTTTTCAGTATTTATTTTGCATGTGCTTGTGTGAACGCATGTGCAGGTGTTGCTACAGGCGTGTGGAGGTCAGAGGACAACTTTCAGAAATTGGTTCTCTCCTTCCAACGATGTGGTTTCTGGGGATCAAATTTAGACCATCAGGCATAGCAGCAGGTTCCTTGACCCTCTGAGCCATCTTGCTGGCCATGACACAGTTTCTTGGATGATGTTGAATACCTAACTTAGGAAGAAGTAGCTTGAAGGTGACTGACTAAAAAGTTGCATCTTGAAATCACATCCAGTAGCATAAGTGTTGGGAGCTGATAGCCCTTTTCAAGTCTTTGTGATTATTGAAGTTACTGTATAGAGCAGGGTGGGAAGTTTCTGGGAAACTTGTAATTTTTATTTCTTTTTTGATGCCTCTTTCCTGTCCAAAAAACCCCCAAAAACATTATCTTCCAAATCTACCCCTTATTTCTTCCAAAAATGAATGTAAGAGCATTGTTTTGTTTTTAACTGACGTAAATAGGGGAAACCTTATAAAGGCTAGAGATAATGGGTTGCAATTAATTGTAATACCTGAAATTACCCCAGTATGCTATAAAAAAGAATTAGTGCTAGGTACATCCTGTGACTTTGGAGGATACACTGGGCGATTGTGAATTTTCTGAGTTAGTATATTGACGAGCACTGATCTCGTAGGCCACTTGAGAGTGCCGTGCTGCTTCACATCCAGAGCTTTCCTGAGTATAAGCAGTTGCTCCTGGCCAGAGGCTGCTTTATATTCTCTAATTGCAGAATTAAAAATGATTCAAAATCACTGATTGTTGTTGTTGTTTTCTTGTAGAATTTGCCATCTGCTGTTGTAGCTCATGTCCTGAATCCTCAACCTGGAGAGAAGATTCTAGATTTGTGTGCAGCACCGGGGGGCAAAACTACACATATTGCAGCACTAATGCGTGATCAGGTGAGAGTGTCTCTGTAACAGATCAACTTGCAGCATGCTGCATATTTCGGTGGTCACGGTAGCACCTGACCTTTCCTATAATTTAGGAAACAAAGGGACTCATAATCCAGACCTAGTTCAGAGAGAAATCAAAGAATTCAAAAAGAAAGTCAATTATGCCAATTACTACCTTTAGTTCAGTTGACATTTATCATTTGTGAAGACTGTCTGAAGACCTTCTTGGATCCCCAGTTTGCTAATACGATTATAAGGTTGTTCCTTTACAGAATTCTTTTGCTGAAGTAGTTAAGAGATCTTGTTTTTAATTTTAAGATTTTATACTTAGTTGAAATACTAAGATATAAACTGCCTCCAAAAACAAATTTGACAGTATGTTATGACTTTTCACATCATATATGTATCTGTACATACACTACGCATAAGTAAACATAAACATACATGGTAGAATATGTGTACATGTGTGCCTAGGAAAGAACATAATCCTAGGGCTGGAGAGATGGTGCAGTGGTTAAGAGCACTGTCTGCTCTTGCAAAAGACCTAGGTTTGACTCCCAGCATCCTCACAGTGGCTAACAACCATCAGTAACTCCAGTTATAGGGGAATCTGATTCCCTCTTCTGACCTCCACAGGTATCGCACTACTTACGTGTAATCAATACACTCATACACATAAAATAAAAATAATAAATAAATTTTAAAAATATTTTTATTTTATGTGTATGGGTGTATTGCCTGCATGTAGGTAAGTGCACCTGTGTTGTGCAAATGCCCACAGAGGACAGAAGAGGCTGTCGGATCCCCTGGAACTGGAGTTACGGACAGTTGTTAGCTGCCATGTGGGTGCTGGGATTGGAACCCGGGTCTTCTGCAAAAACAGCCAGTGTTCTTAACTGCTGATCCATTTGTCCAGCCCGATAAATATTTTTTTAAAAAAGAACATAGTCCTTATAATCATGTTTTATCATCACAAAATGTGGGTAAGTCTGATCTTGGACAACTTTAGCCCAACTTCACTCTGCGTTTTTATACCTATGCATTTTCCAAGTTATTTTCTTTTATTATGGCTGGTTTTACCTGTGTTCAAAACTAATTAAAGTTGTAACCATTTTATTCTTCCATTGAAGAAGTATAGTTGTTTGATGTCATCCTTTTTGTTTCAAACTCTGTAAAACCAAGTGCTTGGAAATTTTTAATCTGCAGAGAAATGGGGCAGTGCAGTGATGGGGAATTCAAAAAGTGTGTATGCTTTATGAAGTAAGTATGTTTGTATAATAATAGGGATATTTAAGTGAGAAATTGATAAAACCAGGGAGAGAGAGAGTAATGACTGGAACAGTGTCTCTGAGTAGGTGAGTGTGTTAGGATTGGATGTGCAGGGACTGTTAATGTACCATGAAGCAGTTTATCTGAGAAGGAAGGCCAGGCATATGGGTGCTAATGTTAGTGAGTTGGGACATGTGGCAAAACACTGGAAGTTCTCTTTCACGTGTGTGTCGAGAGCAAGAGCTTAGGAGAAACAAGAAAAGAAAAAGTAACAATGAGAACATTCAGAAGCAAACTCAGATAAATCCAAGCTGAGAAATAATAAGTAACACGAATTTTTGTTTTTAACAAGATAAACTCCAAATATTATTAAAGATACAGTAGAGAAAAATTGGGATAAACATGAGACAAAAGTATTAATAAGAAAACCCAGAAAGTATAAAACAAGGGGCTAGAGAGATGGCTCATGGTTAAGAGCCCTGGCTGCTCTTGCTTTTGAAGAGGACTTGGATTCTGGTTCCCAGCACCCACATGGTGGCTAACAACCATCCATAACTCCAGTTCCAGGGATATAATACCCCCTTCTGGCCTCCTTGGGCATGGCACACACAGGTGTACTTAACAAACAAGCAGGCAACACACACACACACACACACACACACACACGAATAAAAGAGAAAGGTTTCCTAGTTACAAGAAGTGCATAAATGAAATTACTTAGAAGCATGAAGAGATATAAAACCATGAAAATGTTTAAAAGTACAGTAAAAATTGAAATGCTGCTAAAAAGGAAAACAAGGGGAAGCACAGAAGCAGAAGAAGAAAAAGATAACATGTTGGAGTTTCTTTGTGGGACATTGAAATGTGGAGATGACCATCCATGCCCTGGCGCAGGGTGGGTCAATGCACTACGGACTCAATGCCTCAGCCAAACCTGCGGCTGCCTTGGAGGCTTGTGAGAGCTCAAGGTTTGTCCTGAAGCGGGCCTGCTGTGCCAGCCTCTTCACCAGCACCACCTGGCATAGCTTTTGGGTGAGGCTTGGCATCCCCAGGGATGGCGCTGCTACAGCTGTGTTCCAGCATGGCTGATTTCAGCGCTTCCTGCTGACAGGCTTCCTGTTCTCCAGTGTGGATCTCTTACATGGGCCACATGCAGGCTGGGTGCCACTGTATCCCGAAGTCCTGATGTGATACTTGAACTCTACCATTCTAGAACATTTTACTGTGATACACAAAAGTTTGAACTCATAGTTTCTCGCTTCAGTTACCAGAGTTCACAGATGTTTGTATGGTTAACTCTAAATACTAAGATGAGCATAAGTCTTAAAACAATACTCATTTGCATGTAAAGTCTTTGAAGCTAGATTTTTTATAGAATCGTTTCATGCTTTTTTGGAGGCAAACAGTCACATAAAACCGGTAGTTTGTAATGTTTGCCTTCAGGGGTGATTTTGGGTTTCTTGAGAACACTGCAAACACTGTTTTCAGGTTTGATTTCTGTAGATTAAAAGTAGCTAGCTGTAGGTAGATCAGCTGTTAGTGCATGTTTGTTTAAAGGAAAGACACATTATTTGGGGATTTTCTTTTTAAAGAAACATTTCAGTTTTTTTTATTTTTAGAAATGATAGAGAAAATTGCCAAACATAATTTTCATGTTATTAAAAACCAACCAACCCCTGAGAGGTCTAATAAAATAAAATTTAATCATTCCATATCATTAATGTAAAGGAAATCTTTATTGCCTATCCTAGGGAAGATTCTTTTTATACAGGAAAATTTATATTCATCAAATATTACATAAAACTTAAAACAGCTCTAAGCAAAACAGTACTTAACAAATCATGCGAATAGGAAACCTCAGTCACATACCAATTTTGTACTTAAATATTTACAAACCACTTCTTTGCATTGATGCCTCAGTTTATGTGTTTTCCATATGATATAAAGAACTAATGTCACAGTTTTATAAGCTATTCCACTAAAAATTAAACAGTAGAATGGTCTCACCATATTTCCACATTAAGAACATAACAAAATAATGAATTAGTTTATAGCCCTTAAGAACCTATAATTGACCAGTCATTGAAAGAAAATCAATTTTATTTTATTTTTTTTTTGGTCTTTTGAAACAGGGTCTCCCTGTGTAGACCAGGCTGGCCTTGAACTCACAGAGATCCACATGCTTCTGTTTCCCGAGTGCTGGGATTAAAGGCCTATGCCAACACACCCAGCCAGATTTTCTTTTTCTTTTTTTTCTTTTTTAAAAAATTTATTATTTATATTTTATGTGTATGAGTGTTAAGCCTGCATGTAGGTAAGTTTACCCATGTTGTGAAATGCCCGCAGAGGACAGAAGAGGCTGTGGGATCCCCTGGAACTGGGGTTAGCTGCCATATGGGTGCTGGGATTTGAACCTGGGTCTTCTGCAAGAACAGTCAGTGTTCTTAACCGCTGAGCCATCTCTCCAGCTCCCAGATTTTCTTTTTTAAAAAATATTTTATTTATTATTTTTATTCAATGTGTATGAGTGTATTGTCTGCATGTATGTAAGTACAACATGTCCAATGCCCATGGAGGTCAGAGGAGGGCATTGGGTCCCCTAGAACTAGAGTTACAAACAGTTGTAAGCTGCCATTTGGGTGCTGGGAACTGTACCCAGATCCTCTGCAAGAGCAGCCAGTGCTCTTAACCACTGAGCCATCTCTCCAGGCCTGATTGGGGATTTTCTTTTATTCAGTGCTGGGAACTGAACCCAGGGCCTTGTGCTTACTGGAAACTCTACTGTTGAGCCGTGCCCTCAGCCAGTGTAACTTTGGTGCATATTTGGTTGATGAATTCAGCAGGCAGGGAAGAAAGTGTAGAAGACACAGTTTTCACTAGTTTTTGTATCAATGGCTTTCATAACTGCTTCAGATTTATACTTTTTTTTTTTTTTAAAGGGAGAAGTAATAGCATTGGATAAAATACCCAGTAAAGTAGAAAAAATAAAGCAGAATGCCTCCTTGTTAGGGCTGAATTCTGTCAGGGCATTTTGCTTTGATGGAACGAAGGCACTTAAACTTGATATCATTGATGACACAGAAGGTAAGTTAAACTTTTGTTTTCCTTGTTCTATTCTTAATATTATACATATTTACATATCTATTCCAATAGATCATAATTGTGTGTATACGTGGGATGCAATGGATATCTTGGTTTAAGTATAAATATAGAGTGACCAGGGCTGGAGATATGACTCACTGGTTACAAGCACTGACTGCTCTAGCAGAGGACCACAGTTCGATTCCCAGCACTCACATGGTGGCTAACAACCATCCGTAACTCAAGTTCCAGGGGATTTGACGCCTGCTTCTGACTTCTGCAGGCATTGCACGACACAGGTGCACATACACACATGCAGGCAATACACTCATATACGTAAAATAAAAATAATAACTAAAAAAAATACGGAATGACCCAAACCAAAGTAATTATCATATCCGTAACTCGGTTGTAAGACATTTGAAATTTACTCTTAACAGTTTTGGAATGTAACACGTTAAGTATGGAATCATGTTGTACACTACATCTTAACACTTGGGCTGATTGTGTAGTGTGGCTGTTGGAAAGAGTCTGCAGTGGACTCTGGAGTGTGGCTGTCTCTTCAACATGGTGATGTTAGTTCCAGTTCCTATATTCCCACTGGTGAGCATGACTGCCAGTTCGTATGGTGGTTTCATTATTCATTGTTTGACAGCGATGCTGTTTTTACTAGGGCTGTGCTGGTTGGTTTTCTCATCGGCAGCCTGTGTGCTGTGCCCTCTGGTCCACGCTCTGCTCTGCCAAACTGTCTTCTCTTGAGCCTCCTCACAGGTGTCAGGTTATGTGTCTTACGGTTCCATTTGCATTTTCTTGATGACTAGTGCTGGTGTGCTTCTTTTCCATATACCTGCCAGTCATATCTTCTTTCAAAAACCAGTTAAGGATGTGGAGAGATGGCTCAGCATTAAGAGCACTGGCTGCTCTCCAGGTTCAGGTTCCCAGCACTCACATGGCAGCTAACAATTGTCTGTAAGTCCAGTTTCAGGGGATCCAGCACCCTCTTCTGACCTCCGAGGGCATTTCACAACATACATGCAGGTAAAATATTCACATGTATAAAAATACAAATAAGTTGCACCAGGCACACACCTTTAATCCCAGCACTAGGAGGCAGAGACATGCAGATTTCTGGGAGATGGAGGTCAACCTAATCTACAGAGTGAGTTCCAGACCAGCTGGACCTAGAGGGAAACGCTGTCTCCAAAAAGCAAAATCAATATTGTGTTAATGAGATGGTGAACTTTTCCTGAACCCCTTAGTGCAGTGCTTATGGATGGGGCCGTAGACAAGTAGCTTTCCATAAGTCTGCCTACTCTTCTGAATTCTTCAGAAACCATCCTCTTTCCTTTTCTTGGTTCTCGTCTCTAAACATGCTTTCCTTTACACTCTGGGCTGCTCCAAGCTCTGGAATGAAAGTCTGGATTTTTATGTGGTTTCTGGGGATTGAATCCAGGCCTTCATACTCGGGTAACAAGTAACTAACTGAGGTTTCTCCTCAGCATGAAAACTGGACATTTTAAATAACAAATCATAACACCTGTTCATACTAAACCATGCCTTTCCAGACTTGCTTGTTTGGTGTGTTGCTTGGGCTCTTCTAATGAAATACATTCCCCAGCATGTGTAGCTTTTCATGCTACTTCTCAGACATCATGGCCATGTGTGTGCTTGTTGGTCCTGAAATGACCTTGGTTTTATCAGAGTTCTCTGTGTCTCGGCTGGTTCAGCATAAAGCTGTTAGCCTTCACTAACTGCAGCTTGCTCTGTCTTCAGCCGCACTTTAGGGTATTCCTGACCTGCTAGCTGTATAATAATTTGGACATCTTTGGCTGTAGTCTGTTCCCACCACAGGAAGGCTCTTCTCACTCCCCGTCGTTCTTTGATAAACTTCGACCAGCTGTGGTCTAGTTTAGTGTTCTCACAGAGCTCCCAGCCTCCTTTTAGTTACTACTCAGCTTTCTTTTTAAAAATATATTTATTGAATTTTTGAAAATTTCATATAATATATGCTGATTATGCTGATTATATTCAGACCCTCTCCCCTATTTACATCTCTCCTTCTTACCTCCCCACCAGTCTGATTTCATGTGCTTTATTATATTTTAAGGTCTATTGAGTCTAATTTGGCATCTGTAAATGTCCTTCAGTAAGGAACCAGGCTCCACTCACTGGAACCTGGTTAACCTACTCACCATCACACCCTTAAAGAAAACTCACTCTCCCAGCAGTTAACTGTTGCCAGTAGTTCCTCAGGAAGTGTTGTGACTTTTTACTCACTTCCTCCATCTCTATGCTTGGATTTTTGTCTGATTTGAGTTTGACTAGATCTTGTACATGCTGGCACCATTGCTGTGAGTTCATATGAGTTACTTCCCAGCTGTCTGGTAACTGTTTCCTTCTGGTCATCCACCACCTCTGGCTCTTAAAATTTTCTGCCTCCCTCTTCCACAATGATCCCTGAGCCATGGGAGGCAGAAGTTTGATATAGGTGTCCTATTCAGGGATCAGCATTCTGCAGCCTCTTGTTCTCTACACATTGACCAATTGTGGGTCTCTGTGTTAATCACCATCTGTCTGCTGCATGAAGAAACTTTTCTAGTGAGAGCTGAGAGACACTTTAGTCTATGGGTATAACAATAAATCATTAGGAGTCAGTATAATACTTCGTCCATTTAGCAGAATAGTAGTGGATAGCTCCATATAGAGGAATGAAATTAGGTCCTTATTTCTTACCAAGCACAAAACTCAACTCCAAACGAAAAGGACTTCAACATAAGACCTGATACCCTGAATCTGATAGAGGGAAAAGTAGGGAATATGCTGGAACTTAGAGGCACAGGAAAGGACTTTCTGAACAGGATTCCTATAGCACAAGCATTAAGTCCAACAGTTGACAAATGGGATCCATAAAACTAAAAAGCTTCTGTACAGCAAAGGACAACCATCATTCAAATGAAGAGACAACCTACAGAATGGGGGAAAAAAGGCTTTACTAGCTATACCTTTGACAGAGGGTTAGTGTCTAGATTATACAAAGAACTCAAAAAACTAAATATCAGAAGAAAACAATTAAAAATTGGGGCAAGAAACTAAATGCAGAGTTCTCAAAAGATGAAACTCAAATGACTAAGAAATATTTTTTTTAAAGGTTCAACAACTTTAGCCGTCAGGGAAATCCAAATTAGAACTACTTTTGAGGTTTAATCTTGCCCCCGTCAGAATGGCTAAGATTTAAAAAACAAACAGCTCCTCAGTTATTTTCGGAAAGTACAACAAAGCTTAAACTTCTGTCTGTTCGAAATAAGTCAGTTCACCTGTGGGGTCTGCAGAACTGTTCTTCCTTTCTGCCGCTCCCCTGTGACTAAAGCTGCCAGCTGCAGCTCCAGACTTGGGTCCAGGCCAGTGAGGACCCTCTTCACTGTGAGCTGGGGCGAGTGCAGAAGGCTTAGTGTTCTCAGCCTGCTGCACCCTGGGCAGCCTTCTGTGAGTGGGGGTTGGGCAGAGGCAAACAGTGGCAGGCTTTGAACTGATTTAACCTGGAGTAGAGCTTGTGCACCATGGAGCTGGGGCTGCTGAGGAAAGTTCACCAGCAGCCCCTGCCTAGGAGATACTTCATTCCTTGCATTCCCTGACTGGGAACTTTGAGAGAGAAGAGGTTTTGTGTTCTTCACTGTGCTCATATGAACTACATCATTCTCTCTGGGCTTCAGGAAGGGGCAAAACCGTTGGGAGGCAGAAGGGAGGAAGGAGTGGGTCATGACTCAATGCTACAGGTTGCCACTGTTCATTAGGAGATGCCGAACCATCAGTATCCCAAAGCCACCTTGACTTCACTTCTTTAATTAGCTAATTAACTAATTCTGTATTTATGTTCTGGGATTGAACCTAGGGCCTTGCCCCATGCTAGACTAGTGCTTTACCACTGAGAAATAGCCCTAGCCCTCTTTTTACTTTTTATTTTAAGATACAGTATCACTAAGTTGTGCAAACTGGCCTTGAACGTGTGATCCTTCCCTACCCTAGTAGATGGATTATGTGCTGCCAGGCCTAGCTTTAATTTTTTTTTTTTTTTTGGTCTTTTTGAGACAGGGTCTCCCTGTAGCCCTAGCTGGCCTGGATTCGCTATGGAGACCAGGCTGGCCTCGAACTCACATGAAATTGCTTCCAAGTTACAAACTACTCCAAAATTATACAGTTCTCTACATCTCCAGATGTAGTTGGAAGATTATATATTATGTGGAAAAACTTTTTTACTTGTTTGTTTTAATTTTTAAGACTTATTTTTATTTATGTGTATTTATATGTGTCCATGTATGTGGGTACTCAAGGAGGCTAAAAGAGGGTGTTAGATCTCCTGGAGCTAGAGTTAAAGGTGGTTGTGAGTTAAAGGTGGTGCTGGGAACTGAACTCAGGTCCTCTGAAGAGCCTGAAGCGCTCTTAACTACTGAACCACCTCTAGCCCCTTGCTATTTTTTTGAATTGGCATACCAATAATGCATTTCAGTATGACGTCTTCAGACACATCATTGTACTTTGCTCATATTCATCCCCTTGATGACTATCCTTCGTCTCTTCCCTCCTTCTCACTGGTCCTCTTCCTTCCCCCTTTCTGTGTGTATTTGTGTAGCTATATATAGATATACATGTATGTGAGAGCTGTCTTTCTAGTCTGTCTTTACTTAATGTGTTGATCTCTAGTTCCATTCACTTTCCTGAAAACCACATTCTTTCCTCTTTGAAGCTAAAAACAACTGAATTGAGTATGTGTCACATTTCTTTATTCATTTATCTACTGATGGATGGATGTTTAGGTGGGTTCCATATCTTGCCTTTCATGACTAGTGTACTGGTGAATATTGAACACGCAAGTATCTCTGAGGTATGCTGAATTAGAATCCTTCAGGAATATACCCAGAAGTCAGCTGGACCATGTGGTAAGTCTATTTTTAATTTTTTTTTTTGACAGAGTCTCCCTAGGCCCAGCCCTCCTGGAACTCACTGTATGGATCAGACTGGTCTCGATCTCACAGAGATCTGCCTGCCTCTGCCTCCTGATAGTTGAAATTAAAGCTGTGTGCCACCATGCCGAGCGTTATTTTCACTTTGTTTGAGGAACCTCCGTAGTGGCTGCATTTGTCTGTGCTCCCAGCAGCAGTGAATAGGGGTCCCTCGTTCCTGCATCCAACATCCTCCCAACAGCACTTGTTTTGTTTTCTTGTTGGCCATTCTGACTGGGGTCAGATGGCCCCTTTATATAGTTTAGACTTGTGTTTCCCTGAGGACTGAGAATGGTTTTCATGTGTTTATTAACCATTTGCCTGCTGTCTTCTTTTGAGTACTGTCTTATCAACAGTATCCATTTATTGACTGGATGTTTGGGGAGTATTTAATTTTTCAACGTCTTTATGGGTCCTAGGTATCAATCCCTTGTGAGATGTAGGTTGGCAAACATTTTCTCTTATTTTTCATGCCGTCTTTTCACTCTGTTGATTGTTTCTTTTGATGTGCAGAACTTTTTCATTTTATGAAATCCCATTCTTGCAGTTATTTCCTGAGTTATTCAAGTCCTTTATCTTGAAGTGTTTTCCTTTAGCAATTTCAGTTTCAGGTTTTATGTGAAAGGTTTTGGTCCATGAGTTATTTTTGGCAGTGTGAGAAATAAGGATCTACCTCATTCTTTACATATTAGTGTCCTGTTTCCAAGGTATCTGCTTTATTCCATGGGTCTGTGTGCATGTGTTTGTGCTAGTGTCATGCTGTTTTTGTTTACAGTTTAGTACTGTCATTTGGAGCCAGGTCTCACAGTGCCTTGAACATCGGTCTTTCTGTCCAGGAGTGCCGGCTCTGGTGGGTCTTTTGTGCTTCCATGTCAGTTTTAACTTTTTTTTTTCCTGCAAAGAATGTCATTGGAAATTTGATAGGGATTGTATTGAACCCATGTGTGGCTTTGGGTAGTAGAGCCATTTTCACAGTTCTGATTCTACCACTCTGTAAGCACGGGAGGTCTTTCCATCTTCTAATATTTTCTCCAGGTGCTTTCTTCAGTGTTTCAGAGTTTAGAAAAGCTTCTGATAAATGGAGCATATATATTCTTACAGTACAAGGAGGTTTTCAAAGTCAGTGCATTTGTCTTTCTAATTTTGAATAAATTTTGCTCACACTAAGTACATTTGGTGATCATTTTTGTGAACTGGCTTTTAATGTCTACATAATCACTACCATCTATTAATAAGGGTGGTATTAGTTCCATATTTATTGCTATAGCAAAACACCTGAAAGAAACAACTTCAAGGAGTAAAGATTTATTTGGACTCACTTTTTTCAAAGGTTCCTTTAGCTCATAATGGTAGAGAGGGCATGGTGGAGCAGAACAGTTCCTTGTAGAGACCAGGAACTAGAGCAAAGGAGGGTTCTAAGACTTGTTTATGACAAAATATGGTCTCAAAGGTTTGCTCCCAGCCTCCTCCAGCTGGCCCCTTCTCCTATCTTTCTCTACTTCCCAATATTAGGAATTAATCTGTTTATTGGATCTGAGCCCTTGTGATCTGATCATCACCGACCTACCCAGGGGAGTGATTTACTAGTGCCCCAGGCATTTCCCTACCTAGTGAAACTGTCAAAAAAGAGCAGCCAGCACATGCTTTTGGAGAATGATGAGATTAGGCACAACCACTACAGGGCCACTGGAACTTGGACATTACCCGGACGGGGCTCTGGCCTCTGCAGGCTGATACTTACAGGAGAAGATGCAGTTGCGGACGCCCAGGTAAAGGGCTATTGCTGTGAAGGTTTTGACTGTAAGAGCAAGTAATCAGGAGGAAGTCTGTTTCGCCTTCCTTGCCTTCCATCCTCTCTTCCTTTCCCATCACTCCTGGGCCTCCTGTCGGACAGTGGTCATTCATGGCATTGTCGCATTGGCATCCTTTCTGTCCGGGGCACAGAAAAGTAGCTCGTGTCTGGCACTACATTAGTTACTTGTCTTCTGGCTGTGACCAAATCCCTTACAAAAACACATTAAGGAAGGAGGGTTCATTTGGCTCACAGTTCTTTCTTTAATGTGTATTTTTACTGAGTTTTGTGCATCTCATATAATAGATTTTTTTTTTTTTCGGTCTTTTTGAGACAGGGTCTCCCTGTAGCCCTAGCTGGTCTGGAACTCAACTATGTAGACCAGGCTGGCCTCGAACTCAGAGAGATCCATCTGCCTCTGCCTCCAGAGTTCTGGGACTAAAGGCATGTGCCACCATGCCCAGCAATATAATAGATCTTAATCAAATTAAGATCCACTCACCCATTTGCACCCCAGCAGCCTCCTCTCACTGGATTTAATATGGATATTGAGCACTTTTTAAGGTGCTTCTTGGCCATTTTTATTTCTTCATTTGTGAACTCTGTTCAGATCCATAGCCCATCTTTTTACTGAGTCTTTTATTTTCCTGTTTCTTTGGTTTTTATGAGTTCTTTGTGTATTTTTTATATTAATCCTCTGTTGGGTGTGCAGCAAGTCAAGATTTTCACTCTGGGTTTCCTCTTCCCTTCCTTGGTTGTTTCCTTTGCTGTGTAGAATCTTCAGTTTAATGGGGTCCTACTTGTTGATTGTTGACCTTAATGCCTGAGCAACTGCTGTCTGATTTAGAAAGTCCTTTCCTACACCTATATCTTGTAGGGTACTGCCAATGTTTTCTTCTAGAAGTTTCAGAGTTCCAGGTTTCATATTGAGGTCTTTGGTTTATCTGGAGTTGACTTTTGTGCAGGGTGAAAGATAAGGTTCTAATTTCATTCTTCTGTAGGTGGAGATCCAGTTTTGCCAGTACCATTTGTTGAAGATGCTGTATTCCTGGCTCACAGGTCTAGAGCATACGGTGTATAATGCAGGAAAGGTTTGGTAGTGGGAACAGGAAGCAGCTGGTCTGCCACATTGCTCCAGGGTCAGGAAGCAGAGAGCGATGGATGCCTATGCCTGGATCGCTTTCTCCTGTTACTCAGTCTGGGATCTCAGTTCATGGAATAGTACTCCCCACATTTGGGGTGCCTTCCTACCTCAGGCAACTTAAAATCTGGATAATCTGTCACAGAGGTGCTCAGAGATCTGTTTCCATGGTGACTCTAAATGCTGTCAAGGTGACACTCAACATTGACTATCACAGACGTATTTGGAAGCAGAATGGAAGCCTGGAAAGACAAGTGTGTGCAGTGTTTTTGTATATGATTAAGGCTGCATGCCGGCATTGCAGTGAGAGCACATTGACCAGCTTTCAGTTTATTTGTGGGGGAAGCAAGGAGGGAGAAGGGAAAAGAACACATACAAGAAGTCCAGAGGCTGCAGAGGTGGCTCTTCCAGAGGACCTGAGTTTAGTTCCCAGCACCCATGTTGGAAGATTGACAACCTTCTGTAACTCCTCCAGCGCATCCAGTGCCTTCTTCTGGCCTTCTTGAGCATGCACACACATGGCATTCACACACACACACACACACACACACACACACACACACACACGGTGCATTTAAAAAAAAAAACAAGTTCAGGATGGCTTAGAGTTTAGAGTTAAACTGTGATAATAATTGGAAACAAACAGATCTAGGTGAACATTTCCATGGCATCGCATTGGGGTCTACTTTAAAGAATGAAAGTAAAACATTTCATTTGGCATTTATTTAAAAAAGACTAAAGTTAGGATAGTAGATGGTAGGAAATATTTATAAAAGATTATAGGAAAATTAGTATCTTTTATATATAAAGAACTGTTCTAATAAATAAGACAGTGGTTTCAGTAGGAAAGGACTACACAAACGATGTACCAACACAGGAAAAACATAAATTGGCAATAAAATAAGAATCAGTTTTAATGAGATTTTGGGAAGGCAGCTACACTCACAATAACAGCATAGATGGTATGGTATTTTTAGAGGGAATTTTTACTAGTATATATCAAAAACCTTAAAATGTCTTAGAAAATTATTTCTTTTCTAAGACAGCAGGTAAAACAGCAAAAAAAAAAAAAGCTCACAAATGGAGATGAACTGAATTGATAAATGGAGATGAATTAAACTGGTAATGGCTTGTATCCTAACAGCTTTACCATCTGATAAAAGTAGGAGATAATGCTATGCTTTTAAACACTTGTGTGGATCCTGGGTAGTAAACTTGCTGTGAGGCATTCAGTAGCTTCGGTAAGCTCGCAGGTGGCCCAAATAAATATGTAATGAGAATATTTAGTTTCGTGACTTTCTCCAGTAATGCTAAATAGATCAAAACTGGTCATGGAGAAAATTATTCAAGAGAACACATAGGGACGCATGGTGAACTGTTAAATCCGAGGGTCAGTGGCTCATTTTGGACCCTAACCATACTCATGGCCACAGAAACAGGACGCCAAAGAGCACCAGCCAGAGCCAGCATATTTGACTGTAACCTAAGAGGCTCTGAATTTTTCTGGTGCTGTCTGCATTGGCAATTACTAAGAGGAAAAGTTTCACTATGACTGGAATTAATTCCAGGCCCTAGCTCTGAGGCATTATGGCTTCTAAATTTGAGAGTTAGTTGAAGGTCTTAGTTGAGTTGGTCTGGGTTTATACTGTGTTAGAAAAATAACCCTCATCTGAAACAACCACATTTTAATGTTATTACAAAGTCAGATCTGTAAGTCAGTGTTACTTTAACCAGCTACTTGCATAAAGGGAGAAATTATTTTTCTTTATCTGCTATCCTGGATTATGTCAACTTTTCATCATTGTGTACATCTCAAGAGTTTTCTGTTCTAGACCTGTATGTCAGATAGCAGATGTGTTTGTAATTCTCTTTATAGGGGCACCTCCATTCTTACCAGAGTCTTTTGACCGAATTCTCCTTGATGCACCCTGCAGTGGAATGGGGCAGAGACCAAATATGGCTTGTACTTGGACTTTGAAGGAAGTGATGTCGTATCAGCCACTACAGCGAAAACTCTTTCATGTGGTATGTGGTATGTGCTGGTCCTTTACTGTGAAGAAGTTGTGCTTCACTAGTTCAGCATTCGGTACACCGAGAGCAGTATACAAGGCAGCAGCCCCCACCCAGAGCAGTGTGCAAGGCAGCAGCCCCCACCCAGAGCAGTGTGCATGGCAGTAGCCCAAATATGGCTTGTACTTGGACTTTGAAGGAAGTGATGTCGTATCAGCCACTACAGCGAAAACTCTTTCATGTGGTATGTGGTATGTGCTGGTCCTTTACTGTGAAGAAGTTGTGCTTCACTAGTTCAGCATTCGGTACACCGAGAGCAGTATACAAGGCAGCAGCCCCCACCCAGAGCAGTGTGCAAGGCAGCAGCCCCCACCCAGAGCAGTGTGCATGGCAGCAGCCCCCACCCAGAGCAGTGTGCAAGGCAGCAGTACTCACCCAGAGCAGTGTGCAAGGCAGCAGCCCCCACCCAGAGCAGTGTGCATGGCAGCAGCCCCCACCCAGAGCAGTGTGCAAGGCAGCAGTACTCACCCAGAGCAGTGTGCAAGGCAGCAGCCCCCACACAGAGCAGTGTGCATGGCAGCAGCCCCCACCCAGAGCAGTGTGCAAGGCAGCAGTACTCACCCAGAGCAGTGTGCAAGGCAGCAGCCCCCACCCAGAGCAGTGTGCATGGCAGCAGCCCCCACCCAGAGCAGTGTGCAAGGCAGCAGTACTCACCCAGAGCAGTGTGCAAGGCAGCAGCCCCCACCCAGAGCAGTGTGCAAGGCAGCAGTACTCACCGAGGCCTTTTTGCAGAACAACCCAAGAGTCATTGGTAGTTACCCGGTTAAGTAGAATTTTGTATGGTCATATATAGAGTATTGTTTAGCCTTAAAAGGAATGAAATTCTGGTACATGCTACAATATGGATGACCTTTGAGATGTTACGCTAAGTGAAGTAAGTTGGACACACGCTGTATGATCCCACTTATGAGGTAATTAGATTAGGATAATTAAACCCACTTACGAGGTAATTGGATTAGGCAAACCCTAAGGACAGAGAATGGAACAAAGGGAGTTGCTATTTGATGGTTAGAGAGGTTCCGTTTGGGATGCTGAGAAGTTCTGTGGATGAATAGCGGGGATGGCTGCATGGTAAATTTTACGTATTTTTTGACTTCACACAAGGAAGAGATTGGAAAGAACTAACTTTTGTCTGGTTTTGGTTCTTTGAGACAGGGTCTCACTATGTATCCTAGACTGGATTCAAGTTCTTAATCTTCCTGCCTCAGCATCACAGTGCTGGGATTACTTGTCACTTGGGTGCACTATCATGCCTAGCCATAGCTTTAAATATAGGGAGCTTTCCTTTATGCTGACTGCTCCTTTAAGTACAGAGCCAGTCTATAAAATGAATTCATTGAGAGATTTAATCTCAAACATTCTACTCCTTAAAAGAGAAAACTTAGCTAAAGGCTATATAACAAGCAACAATGCCAGATAGGGGATACCTTCTTTTGAGTTGATGGCTGGGGTGGCCCAAGGGACTCCCAGATAGTAACCCAGCACAGAACTGGGAAAATGAACAGCAGACCCCAGTCTTATCCAAAGGAATATAGATTAGGAACAGCTGACCTTCCTAAAACAAAGACCTCTAGATAGGCTGACTAGATTCACCAGAAGGGCAAGTAGTGGGGAATGGCTGGGGTGCCGACAACACAGCAGACAGTAGCAGGAATATCAGAGTATAAGGGCTCTAGTGGGGGGAGGGAGGCTATGGGAGGGTTGCTATCTGGAAAGTGGGTTGTATAGATGAATAAGATGGTTTGGGATGCTCTGTGTGATAT